TGGTACTGGGGGGGCGGGGGGGGCTGGTAGTACTGCTGCTGCGGCGGCGGCTGCTGCTGCTGCTGCTGCTGCCGCTGCTGCTGCTGCACCTGAGCAGCAGGATGCACTGGCTGCCCGTACTGCGGCGGCGGGGCCTGGTAGGCTGGCTGCTGCTGCTGGTAAGTGGGGGGCGGCGCGTAGTTTTGCTGCTGCTGCTGATAAGCTGGGGGTTGCTGCTGCTGCTGGTAGCTGGGCGGCGGCGGCTGCTGCTGCTGCTGCACGTACCGCTGGTCTCCCGCGTAGTAGGCTTGCTGCGGCGGCGGCGGCGGCTGCTGCTGCTGCTGCTGCGGCTGCTGCTGCTGCTGCTGCTGCTGCTGCCGCGCGTCCTGCGCATATGCGTACTGAGCAGCAGGCGGAGGCGGAGCAGCGTAGCCCGCAGCTGGGGGCTGCTGGTAGGCCTGCTGCTGCTGCTGCTGCTGCTGCTGCGGCGGGGGGGGGCTGGGCGGCGTGTACTGCTGCTGCTGCTGCTGCGGCGGCGGCGGCGGAGGGCCCCTGGGGATTGCTGCTGGGTCTGTGGGCATGTATTCAGGGGGGGGGGCAGCCTGCAGCAAAAAGCGAAAAGTTGAAATTAAAAGAAATGAAAATTAAATGAAGTGAGGACAGCAGCAGCAGCGCCGCGCGGAGGTGTACGTACACCGCAGGGACTCAGCGGGAAGCGCCGCCAAAGCTGCAGCAGCAGCGCCCCTGGATGTGCAAACTACGGCTAACTGCTGCTGCTGCTGCTGCTGCTGCTGCTGCTGCTGCTGCTATGGCTCACCTGAGGCGGCGGCTGTGCCGCGAGCGCCGCTTGGTCGGGCCCTGCGAGGCAGCAAATGGCAGCAGCAATAGCTGCTGCTGCTGCTTGCATCTGTCCCCTCATGGTGCGCTGCTGTGTCTCTCCAGCGGTTCACTGCTGCTGCTGCTGCTGCTGCTGCTGCTGCTGCTGCTGTGGCTGTCTCGCCTCAGGCCCGAGCGTTAGTGCTGCCGCCCCGAAGCAGACAGGCTCATAACAACTGCTGTTGCCCTTTTGTTAAATAGGCAAGCTTGGAAAGACGGAAAGAGGCGCTGCTGCTGCTGCCGCTGCTGCTGCCGCCGCTGCTGCTGCTGCTGCTGCTGCTGCTGGCTGCTGGCCCTGGGCCCCCGTGTCTCTGCTGCAGCTGCGGAGGGCCGCGCCGCTGTCTCCTGCTGCTGCTAAAGCGTAATGTTAAATATTAAATTAATTTTCTGCTGCATGCGTTAGACGAGCAAGCCTCCGCAAGACAGCTGTTGCTGCTGCCTCACTCACTGCAGCAGCAGCAGCAGCAGCAGCAGCAGCCCTGCTGCTGGCTGCCGACCAGCGCGTTCACTATGAACGGGCCCCTGCATTGGTTTGTACTGCTGCTGCTGCATCAAATGGAGAAATGCATGCGTTTAAAAATAATTATTTAATTAAATTTAAATTAATTAATATTTTACATGATAAGAAGGCCGGAAAGCCTCATCAGCTCAGCCAGAGTGTGGTAGGGGCTTTTTGCCTGAGGCGGCGCCCCTCAGCTGCTCCAGCCCTCTAGTGCAGCAGCAGCAGCAGCCGCTGCTGCCGCTGCTGCTGCTGCTGCTGCTGCTGCGATTTTGGGTTTTTGGGTCTCTCATCCTTTTCTTCTTTTCCGTTTGCTTCGCCGTCTCGATTTATTTAAACGAAAATGGGGGCGTGTAAGTCTGAGCTGCTGCCGGTGGGCGGCTGCGCCGTGCTGCGGGCTTTGCTGCAGCAGCCCACAAGGGTCTGCTGCTGCTTGCTGCTGCGCAGCAACGGACTTCTTTTTTGCTTGTTTTGTTTAATTTGTTGTTATATTTAATTTCTTGCTGCGCTGCTGCGTTTGGCTGCTGCTGGGGCCCTGGGAAGGGCGGGGAGGGGCGGGGCTGCTGCGTGGGGCGCTGCTGCTGCAGTTGTGTGCTGCTGCTGGCTGTATGCCTCTTTGTTTCTTTCTTTTGCATTCTCAATCTTGCTGCTTGTCCCTCTCCTTGCTCCCTCTCTCGCGTTCCCGTTGCTGCTGGCTCTCTGCCTCCCACAGTGCATGCAGACTTGGGCTGAGCAGCAGCAGCAGCAGCAGCAGCAGCTGCTGCTGCTGCTGCTGCTGCTGCTGCCGCCCGCCGCTTCCTGCGCGTCCGCGCAGCCCGCATGCTGGACTCTGGGTGCCTCCCCCGCTGCCCCGCAGCGCGCTCGCTGCAGCCGGCGCCACCCCGCTGCTGCTGCTGCTGCTGCTACTGCTGCTGCTGCTGCTGCTGCTGCTGCTGCTGCTGGTGTGCGCGGGCGCGGGTTGCTGCGGGGCGCGGGTGTTGCTGCTGCGGGTGGGGCTTTGCGGCTGCGGGTGGGGCTTTGCTGCTGGGGCTTTGAGGTCTTGCTGCTGCTGCTTCGAGGTCTTGCTGCTGCTGCTTCGAGGTCTTGCTGCTGCTGCTGGGCCTTGTGGGGTCTCGCTGCTGCTGCTGCTGCCTCGTGTGGTGTCTGCTGCTGCTGCGGCGCGTCGCCGCGGCGCGCACCTGGCGCCTCTTCGCGCCGTTTTCGCTGCTGCTGCTGCCCAGCAGCAGCAGCAGCAGCAGCAGCAGCAGCAGGTGCGTGCGTGTGCGGGCCGCAGCCGAACTCTGCGATTCGCAAGTGCGTGAGGGTCCAGCTGATCAAAAACGGCAAAAAGATAACAGCTTTCGTGCCTCGAGATGGCTGTTTGAACTACATCGACGAAAACGACGAAGTCCTCGTCGCTGGCTTTGGCCGCTCCGGCCACGCAGTCGGAGACATTCCCGGAGTCCGATTCAAGATCGTCAAAGTCTCCGGAGTTTCCCTCCTCGCCCTCTTCAAGGAGAAAAAGGAGAAACCCAGGTCTTAATCTGCTGCTCCAAAGGCCCCGGGGGCCCCAGGGGGCCCCGGGGGCCCTCCGGGGGCCCCCGGCGGACCCTGGGGCACTTCGGGGGGCCCCCGGGGGCTCCGGGGGAGCCCCGGGGGGCCCCAGGGGGCCCCCAGCTCGGAGCTAGCAGCAGAGGCGCTGCTGCTGCGGCGGGACGCTTTTGAATTAACGGTTGGGGAGGGCTGGAAGTGCTGTTGCTTTGGCTGAGTCGAGAGGAGTTGCTGCTGCTGGGCTGTTTAGGTTGCAGTTTATCTACTGAATTTGCAGTTCCTCGCGGCTTTCTTCTAGATCCTTAGTGCTGCTGCAGAGAAGTTGCTGCCTAGAACTCGCTGGTTGGTGTCAGTGAGGGTAGGCCCGGAGAACTGCGGGCAGTTCAGTTCTAGTTCGCGTCAGTTTTGCAAGTCGGAAAGCTGGGGCTGGGAAAGCGGCTCCGTAGGAGTGGCTCGGCCCCCAGTAGACATTTTCGTTACGCGAAAACGACTTAGTAATATTTTTGAGAAACTTTCTTGCAGCTTTCCGCTCAGCAGCTGCTGCGAGGGCGCGTGCAGGGGTGAGCATACACCCGAAACGCGCACGCCCCCCGCGCAGCAGTTTCGCAATTCAAGTTTTCTGCATTGACTTCAAGTTTGGAACTTGGTGTGGGAAGTGCCCACTGAGATTACTGCGAGCTTCCGCAGCTCGTTGCAAACCCTTTTGCCTCGTCATTTTGTTTTTCTTCTCTTTTGCAAATGTTTCCTCCGTCCTGCGGCGCTGGGCGCACCCGCAGGACAGCGGAAACCCAGGGAACGCAGCAGCCGCCGGGCACTTGCGGCGGAAATCTTTCGTTTCGGAGTTCCGAAATGCAAATTAAAATGCAAGAGCTCGCGAACGAAGTGGCCAGCGACGTGGCAGCTGCCCACGCGAAAGTTCTTGAACTGGAAAGCCGCGCGCAGCTGGGCGAAAAGCTTTCCCAAGTTTGCCGGCTGGCCGAGGGGGTCTTTTCGTTTTCTGCGGGCCTTGAGAAGACGCAGAAGCTGCAGCAGCGTCAGCTTTCCGCGCCCCGTTTTGCTGCTGCTGCTGCTTCATTTCCTGTTGCTGCAGAACTGACGCAGACCACGGCCGCCGCGGACCGCCTCAGCGCCAAGACGCTGCTGCTGCAGGAGCAGACGCTGCTGCTGCAGCAGCAGGCCCTCGCGATGCAGCGCGAGTACGAGGCGCTGCAGAGCAGCACAATTCGGGAACTGTGTCGGTGCGTCTGCTGCTTGCTGCTGTGCTGCAGCAGCAGCAAATGCGCGTTTGGCCCCACAGGCAGCAGGAGCTTCGAAAGCGTCTCAAGGCAGCGCGCGTGAGATCGAAGCCGCCTCCGCTCGTTCAAGAGCCGCCAACCGCAGCAGCAGCAGCAGCACAAGCAGCAGCAGCAGCAGGGGGGGCGCACTGCCAGGTCCGCTAGGCAATAGTTGTTTCTTTTTTCGCATTTATTTGCTGCACCCAACGCAGAGCAGGGGCCCCCACCCGGACCTTCTCCAGGGGCCCCCCGCCGGCGCCGGGGGCCTCGCGGCGGTGCCGCAGTCAAGCGCCACACACAGCCACCCCCCAGCAGCAGTTGCTGCTGCTGCTGCTGCTGCAGCAGCAGCAGGCGACAACGCGAAGCAGAAAGGGGGCGCTCCCCCGCTAACTGTCTACCTGCAGCAGAAGCCTCACTTCGGAATGCTGCTGGTACGTTTCGCAAGCAGCGTCACCGAACTCGTTCCTCCTCTAAATTACAAACTGCTGCTGCTGCTGCTGCTGCTGCTGCTGCTGCTGCTGCTGCTCAGGGAGGCGGGGTTCGCCGTCCTGGGAAGCGGGCGATGACTTTTGCTGCGACGGCGCCCTCGGTAAGGCCGCAGGTCTGCAGCAGCAGTTTCCTAAGTGCAGCCATCTTTCCCAGGGTTTCCCCAAGATCCGCAACACGAATCGAACTTTTCAGCAGCAGCAGCAGCAGCAGCAGCAGCAGCAGCAGCAGCAGCAGCAGCAGCGTTCGTGAGCTGGTGCGAGTTGCTGCTGTTGTTTGTGCGTGTGTGTGTGGCTCGCGCTCTGCGCGTTTTTGCGAACGAACTGAACTAGTGGCGCAGCTGTTGCCGCCGCCGCCGCCGCTGCTGCTGCAGCTGCTGCAGCTGCTGCAGCAGCAGCAGCAGCAGGTTGCGGCGGGCGTAGAGGCTGCTGGCGTAAAAATGTTGAACAAAAAGTAGTTGCTGTGACGGCTTGTCACAGCGTTGCGGTGCTGCTGCTGCTGCTGCTGCTGCTGCTGCTGCTGCT